GTGACGCTGTAAAGGTAATCTGCGACCAACAGCATACACTCAAAAAAAAAACTGGACGAGTATAACAGCAATCAAAATTCAGATGAACAACTGAAAATATATTTCTCATTATGTAGTGACTTAATGAATCATCTCTTCATGAGTCATATTTCGACTTGACGACTCTGTAAATAATAATACACAGAGAAAAATCAGCCCTAGCCGAGTTCCTAGCCGGTTCTTCTTAATACTAGGTCTTACGCTGTAGATTAACGAACCGATGGCGTAGCTTCTAGACATGCACGAGTGCTTGTAAGAGCCTAAACTGAATTAATGATTTTGATTATATGATTAGAAGCGAGTTTCATACGAAAAAAACTGAACGGCTGGAGTTAAAACGGTGACGAACCCTTTCTGAATTGATATGTCTGCTACAACCTTATCCCACCTTCTCCTTTCCTAAAAAGGACCACGTGCGGTGGACTATGTTGTCACCTTCACTGTGGCCACTATTTTAACGCGAACAGATATTATATAGATAAAATGGAGCACTAATTATAGCCACGGGTGTTTTGGACTTCATTGGTGCAAATTAACTGAAAAATGGTTGACGGGTAGAGAATGCCTACGGCATTAAGTACGCTTTTGTACTCTTGTGCATGAAGAATAAATCAATAAAATAAATTTGGTAACTCATTTCTTTGTCGCACTATCCGAAATGGAATGCTATGCTCGTTCGCGTGTTCGCAACTTCCTTCTTACAACCCGGGGTCCTTTAAAAGAAGCGTGAAGAAGCAAATTAGAAGCCAGCAAAGTGAGAATGGCTAGTGTGGCAGATTTCATTATCTGCCACATTTGGATACCACTGTCACTTAACATCAGGTGGGATGGAGTTATTTTCTTGAAGACAATAGATTTAAAAATAAAGTGGGTATTTTACATCAAGCAAGTCACTACCCACTGGATGCGGAATTCGCGCAACCGTTGTTTGGAAATCCCTACAGGAGGCCTTTGTCCAGCAGTAGACGTCCATTGGCCTTTGGCCGATTATGATGATAAGGATTTTTTGGACACTGGCACTTGATTATTTTATTTCATCTGTTTTGATCCGTAACTAGGGTAAACATCCGTCCGGATTAGTCCGGATATGTCCTAACTTTTAGACTTTATTCCGGACTTTATCCGGATTTTTTAAATTACATTGAATATGAATAATAAAAGTACATATTGATTTAAATACCATACCATTGTAACTGAGTTATAGTACCATTATGTGACAAAAACTCCGGACTTTTTTCGAAATGGCAGGATTTTTGTCAGGACTTTTGAAATTCCTAATTGATAACCCTATCCGTAACCAAATAGTAAAAACGGCACCCTATTACTAAGACTCTTCTGTCCATCTGATTTCAATCAAGGTCTTTTCGGCCCTCTAAGTGTTACGTAAGAGCACTAACTATCATCTATTTACAGATTGAAGAAGAATTTAGAATTACCGAGTTCCACACACCGCACCGGTACAAAATGACATACAAACTTATTTTTAAGCTTTATTATTATAAGCAAAGAAATCCTATATTAACTGCCAACCTATAATTATTATATACGTGACAATAGCGAGTTTCTATTTCTTCAACTTTATCTCTTTAACTATTTATTTATTTATATTACATTCAAATACAACTTGATTATTTTACTTCGAATTCCATAATTTACTTCATTTTCTTTTGTACACAAAACTATGTTTCGGCCTGTTCGGAAATACATAGAAAAAACATTTTAAACATTTGGTTTCAATACAAAACAAATGCTTTAAACACTGATCTACACTGGAGAGTGTATGTCATGTATTGTATATAATTACAGCCATTAAAAAAACTAATCTGAGATGGCGTAACAACGCATGCTATCTCTCTCGCTCTTCTCGTAATGTACGAAAGGAACAATATATTTATTATTTAATAACTTGCTTCGCCATTTTAGATTCGTTTTTTTTATTAGCTCGAGTAATGTTAAAATACTTTCTTAATTGATTTGCGTAGACATTTTTTCCCATAAATCCCTGTTCTTTTATACTTAAAGTACAAACTGTAGGCGTGACAAGGACAATGATACCACAAACTTTAAATGTACATGCATATCCACACTTAATCATGTGTAACTGGTGAATTTCCATTGAGAATGCTGCTGAGCTCTTTTGAATTCAATAATGGAGACAAAAAAAGTTGGAGCAGTATTAAACTTGGAAAAAGGTAATCAAGTAGCTACCTAGCAATTTAAGAAAAAAACATGTCATAAAATGCTATTTTAATACAGCAATAGAAATAATTAAATGACTGCACAGTTCGCTTCCAGTCAAATTGCAATTCCAATGATTGCAAACTGACTGTATATTACATCTATCTCAAATGGCGATGTTAAACCATCTGTCCCTTTCGCACTTACAGACAAGAATAATGTACGACAGGGACGGATATAGCTAGATCCTTTGCTTTCTTATTGTGAGACATATCATTTGCCAAAGGACTGTGCCTTTTCAATACAAACATTGCATAAGTTAAGTCACGTTCACAAAGGTCAAATATGGAATGGGGATATTTTAAGATTTTAAAGTCATTTCATTATATTTAACAACGAAAAAGTCTTTACCAATATTAAAAATATGACAGACAATATTGTTTCCAGTTTTTTATCATATTAATGGTTAATAATAAATTACAACAACGGATCTTCGTAAGAGGAAAAATGTTGACAAAGTAACACAATCAAGTTGCATCCCGACTACAGACTAGAAGAAAAACACTTTTGCATTGGGAAAACTAAGTTAATGTCTCTCATTATTTTATAATACAAATAGATATTACAAAATCACACACAAGGAAAACCATGATGTGATCTTAAAAACAACTCTGCAAATAAATCTTTTTTTTTCTCATTATTATAATACATTCACTCTCTTCTAGTACTTTACATAAAAATTTTAAAAGCTTTTATTAGTTTACGTTTTGTTTTCGACTGTAGAACAAATTTACATTTGGTTCATCCATTAACTTGACTGTTTGTCAAAATCAATACTTTGACAAACCATCAAATTAATGAGTACAAAGTAAAATTGTACCATTAAGAAACAGGCAAGGTTTCACTACTGATTTTTGTCAATTATTTTATGGGAAACATAAAAAAACAGTTTTACGATGTCACATCGTAGAAATAAAAGAGCTCCATCCATTGCAGAAATCATTGAATAAAATATCTTCAAATGTTTATATTGATTCAAAGTTCTGTATTTGGACCCAAAATCGAGATCAGTAATATGTAAAAGTTTTTGGTCTTTGTTAGATTTTGTTTTAGGGCTTTTTACATTTTACATCAAGAACATAAAGCTTATAGTCAGTTAGGAGCATGATTAGTACACTTAAGAGATTTGGCAACTTGACCTGTTCCAAGTTCTAAACCTAATCTAACTTATATGGAGTGGTGAACGAGAATCAAAAATTCATAATCATGTGTACTGCGTAGTGTCAAATCAAAATGAGATGGTGTAAATATTACATTATTCCAAATTATCATTTGATTACTTTGGTCAATCTGTTAAAAATTTACTAGAGAAAGCTTTTGATTTAAACCAATGTGTGCAAGAAAACCTTATCTAAATTGCATAAAATGTGTTAATATTTAAAAACATGGAGCTGTAATTTGACACCTACATGGAAAAACGTCATAACTCATTTCTAGTAACTTTACTTACAGCAAGTTATTTTTATTTCACTAAACTTTTTTCCATGTAAAGTATATCAATGAAACTTTAAATCTAATTTAACCCAGTTTCAGTGTTTAATGCTTTTGTAAATGTTAAATTAATCCACCTGGGACTTTACATTAAACATTTCTGAGGCCCTTACCTTACACGAAAACAACTTTACCAAAAAAACCCTCTGTAATCAATAAAGCCATCAGAATAGTCAAATATTAGAGAAACACAATCCAAGTGAGATTTTTAAACATTATCAATAATAAGAAAATGTTGAATATTATTTGAGTAGGTAACATTAATATATTATGTGTGTGTCAGGCCCGCTTCAGAGGTTTCTGAAAATTTACGAGTTGTATATTCTAATAATTGTTTTTTAATGTACTATTTTGTTAGTACACTGGTGTCGATTCTGGCATGATTCTCTAAACTTAAAACTTAATTTACGATCAGTCTCTCGTTTTTATTCTTTATAGAGAGTGACAAGGATACACTGTTGACAAATTAAGTTTAGGTTTAGAGAATCGGTTCAGAATCGACACCAATGTACTAACAAAATAGTACATTAAAAAACAATTATTAGAATAAAAAAAGTTGATGCTTTTAAAAATTTCTAAACAAAATTTGGTTCTCTCATAGTTTTAGACAATTGAGAGGATGAAAGACAACTGCGTGCAACTGATCTAAGAACGCATGTTACTATCATAATGGATAATAAGATAAGGAGCGAATCTGGTTTTGGTTCATACGCGTTTGCCAGTTGTGATTATACTCAAGCCAACCAGACATCAGAATGGCTTGAGCATGATACTACCTTTTTTCTTTTCAGAAACCTCTTAAGCGATCCTGACAGACATCTTAATATAGGTATATACCTTGTAACATTATTACAACAAGCCTAAACAACCTGTTTAAGACTGATACCAATGACCTACGTCTTAGAATATTTGAGCAACTATTTAGATTTTTTTTATTCAACAAACAAAGACAAAACACTGCATAACTGTTCAAAGCTTATTCTTTCTTTATTGGTTTAATTTCGGGTGCTTTAAATTTTTTGCCATAAAGGATATGTATAAGCAAGGGCCTTCCAGAAACTTCCCTACATTAAATAAACAAAGTTCATTCAAGTGTCTAACAAGGGAAAGAGGTTCAAATAAAGAGGTAAGCAAAAATCTCACCGCAAACGTCTACAGTCGAAACACGAGTCTTCATACAAACTAGAGCAACGTTAGACACTATCAATCAATCACTGATCACTTATCACTCATCACCAGAACCGTTGAGGTCTTGGCCCCGCGAATCTATTAGGAGGCCTAGGAGAATGCCTCGGCCAAAACTGTGGGCCAAATCCTTGGGGCCTGAAATTGTTCCTCGGACTCCAATTTCTCGGAAACCTTTGATTGAGCAAGAAAGGCCTTTGTGCACCTTGCCATTCGTTCTGGTACTCTTCATAGGGGGGAGAAGGATTCCTTATATCCTGCTCCATTCCTCTACTTCTCAAATCTTCTTCGTAAGCACTGTCATTTGAGTTTTCTTCAGCTTCCCTTTCCGGAGGTGGGAAATTAGGGAATGGCATATTAAAGTTCTTTAAGCCAGTTGGCATATTATCGAAAGGGTTTGTCATTGGCAGTACAGCAGGAGCAGTCAAAGGTTTCTCTGTACTATTGATTCTTATTAGGTTGTGATTTGTTTTTCCATTGTCACCGCCTACTAAGACTTTGTTATTGTTGAAACTGTGGCGTCTGGGATGCTCAGACTGTTGAGAATAACCCTCTGTGAAAGAATTAATGTTATATAGTTTATTGCACTTAACATAGAATTGAAATTACAAAAACATTACAATAGAAGAAAGAATATACAAAAAGTCATGGTTAGTTTTAATGACATAGATGATATATTACATTTAAATCTGGAGGATAAGATTTGTTTGGTTAATTATTTTAAAGGACTATTTCATTGGAAATAATAAATCAGTGTTTGGGTTGCCTTTGTAGGTTCAACTTTTTACTCAAAGTTCGAATAAGCGTTATGAAATTAACAGTTATATTTAATACAAAATGACAATAAGCTTCATTTTAGTGACACACATTAGACACCGTTTTATGTGAGTTATTTTTTTAAACAATTTTATTACTGATAATTAATCGGTGTCATATTGTCTTTGTAGCTCCAGCTTTTTACTTAAAGTCCAAATAAGTATTATAAAATTAACACAGATATATTTTATCCAACGAAATAATTTACTGATGAACCAAATACGACATAAGTTTGTTAAGATCTGTGGGTTTTAATCAAAATATGTATTTAAGGTTACTGAAAATGGTATTTTACTTTTAACAATCGAATACTTATTATAGTTTTTAGGCATTCAACTGCTAGATGTTCAAATCTAAATAAATTTTTACTAGAAAAAAATCCTCGCGGTCCAGGCAGCATACGGGACTCGAACCGACAGCCTTCGCTATCCAGACACATGCACTGACCAATTATACTACCGCGACCGTAATGGCAGAGTCGAATTTCCTCTGGTATTTCTTAGGTTGCAAAGCAGCGCCATCTCTTCTTTCTAGTTAAATTTCCTTTACATTTAATGGAATACTTGTTAGAAATGCTGTAACTCACGTTCTTCATCGTCAGACAGATCCATGTCGACACTCTCCACTATATCGCTCGGTGGAACCATAGGGGGTACCCTGTAATCCTGGAATTGAAACCATAGTGTATCAAATAAAACAATTTTTACGGGTTAGATTGCATTGAATTCATTTAACTTATGATTATTTCTGAAGACTATTTCAGAAATAGTCATTAGTTAAAATAAATAAAATAAAAGAGATAATTTCTGAAGACGCAGTCCTGCAAAGGCTGCGAAACGTCAGATAAATGAATTCAGTGCATGTAACCCGTAAAATTGTTTTATTTAATGAGTGATGTGCGTGAAAACCTAAGAAACAAATACATATTTTATCACTTTTAATGTAGATAACCAGACAAACTGTTCGTTTCCAAAGACCTTTTATTCCACGGAATCTCTGCTCTCTTCCACAGTGTTCCCTCAGTACTGTATAAACTCTTTGCTTATGTAATGCCTACGGCTGGCAGGTGTATTAAAAGTGAATGACATTATTTTAAAGATTCGAATGTAAGAACCTTCTGTCTCACATCCAGTATTCACGAGATTGAATTCAGGCACAGACTCGATCGGTTGATTATATTTAATTGTATTTTATGTTTTCCTGAATTCAAATAAACCCAGTTAAGAATAAAAGTGTTCTTATTTTAGTACAGTAGAACGTCCATTAACCCCATCGCCAATTATCCGAATCAGTCCTAAGGGTAATTTAAAAGATTAATACCAATTTATTTTTGTTTTGTTGTGTTGTAACAAGTTGGAACTCGCTGGAATCCAGATATATTTCAACTGTTATGGTTGAAAGCTAGAGGCAAGACACTACATGTTTTGGGTGGCTCGGTTTTTTTTTATGCTACTATGTACCTCTATTATTGTATTTAGTATTTTAGACCTGTTTGTAACTTATAAGGTTTATTCTATGTTCGTTGTTCTTGTTCTTTATTACCAGTCTATGTCCGATTATCCGAATCGACCCAGGTCCCAATTAATTCAGATAATTAGTTTTTGATATCATTTTTCATTTTTAAATTGACGACACTGTATGAAACAAAACAGAGAGAAAAAAAAGCCCTTGCCGAGTTTCTTGTCGGTTCTTCTCAGTACAAGGTCTCCCGCCGTAGATTTACGAACCGATGGCGTAGCTTTTGACTTTCACAAGAGCTTGTAACAGCCTAGACGGAATAAATGAGTTTGAGTTTTAATCGGTGTTCTACTGTATTGTTCCCCAGGTTCTCCCCACTGGAGAACCCTACATGACGGACGCGCCGGTGCCAGCCCCTTCAGTACTATAACATGGTCAGTTTCAAGAGAGGCTTAAATAGTGCTCCACGAAAGGCAGTAAGTAGCATGGCTATGTTATTGGCATTGGTAATGTCTATAGGTGACGGTGACCACTTAACCTTATAATGCGATTCAAATAAGAATAGAAAAGCCAATGACCTTCATCTGTCATATGTCGCCTAAAAAAGTACGGTTTGCAAAAAAAACTCGGAACACTTTTTTAGCACTGAGCTGATTCTAGAATAAAAACCAAACATTTTTAAACAAACAATAACAAATGTTGATAATTAATATAAGTTGCTTTTTTTTGCATTTATTTAGTTTTGGCTATGAATGGTTGATAACCTAAATCGTCAACCAAATGTCACTTTAGGTTGCGTTCAAAAAGTCGATTTAAAATTTTCGTTTACATATAGGATGCATGTTCGTATGTGACCTGCATGATTATTCATAACTTCTTCGGCGGTAATGCAGAGTTGAGCAAAATTGAAGAGCTATATTCTTATTAATGTATTTTTTTTTCAGCAGTCTTATAAAAGAAATACTATTAAAAATCGATTATGTTCTTGCTCAACCTTAGTAAATTAATTTTATTAAAAAATCTGATGTTTTGTCTCACTTAATCTTAGTAAATAAGTTTCATTAAATAGCAACATTTTTTTGCTCACTCTACCTATTTGGTTTGAATTGACAGCTATGACGTCAAAATATGGCGCCCAGTCGATCCTATTCTTAGTCGAATCGCATTATAGGTAGCCTATCCGATCATCTGCCTTCGAAAGCAATAAAAAAAAACGAGTGTGCTTATGACCACACGACTGAAGTGAAACTTCTTTAGCTCCATGAAAGAGCTGGAGATGGAGCTAAAGAGATGGAGCTAAAGAAGTTTCACTTCAGTCGTGTGGTCATAAGCACACACATTTTTTTTATTGTTGCGGCTGGCATGTGATTACACAATTTATACATGTACTAGGGTGTCAGCTAACTCCATACCAAATTTTATTAAAATCGTTCCAGCCGTTTAGACGTGAAGAAGTAACAAACATACACACTCACAAACTTTCGCCTTTATAATATTAGTGTCATGTACATATTTCATTTACAAGCTATAAGAGACAGAGAGTAAGAAAATGTGCGCGCGCACTGCTTTCTCTTGCTTATATCCCCCACTCAACTCCCGTCCTCCTCCCCTGAACACACTTTTAGTAACGCGTAACGCATTCGCCAGCTTACCCCACAAGTCAAGCGTGCCTAAAGAAGTTTCACTTCAAAAAGTTAAAATATTCGAGACATAATTGTACGCGTGCAATGCAAAACAAGGTCAGGGTTGCCAACCGTACGAGAATTCTCGTACAAATACGAGATTTCTGGTCTTCCGTATGAGGAACGGGGACACTACACATCTCGTTCAATTATGTACGCAAATCGTGTACGAGGTTCTAAAGCCAGATTACGAGATTTGTAGCTAAATAAGTAGGAGGAAAAAAAATCTACACGGTTGGCAACCATGACTTAGTTGAAATTGGCGATTTCTGTAAGTCCTAATGCTGAACAATCCTTTAAATTTGAATATACAAGGAACTTTCCTTATTTGTTTATTTCCAATTTTTATGTATGATTTTATTTTCATGAATTTTCGGAGGAAAAAATTATAGAATATCATCGTATCTTTTTTTCTTGTTTATAAACAATAGCATAAATTTACACTTGTAGGACGAACTGATGTACGGGTAGATTTTCTGGAATTGTCTTCATTGATGGTTTTCGGCGACATTTTTAAAATAAGACATCGACAAGTGAAAATAAATAAAATCTTAGGTTCTAATAACTCACCTGGTCCAAATTGATTGGATTCACCGGTCTGGGGGGCAGACTCGGCATTCTTGGCTGTGGTTGGTGAGTCAACGATATAAGATTCCTGTGGTCTACGTCTGGAATACGACAATCGTTTCAAGAATCGGTTAGGAAAATCTGTAATGATCTGACCTTTGTTTGTATACACGTCTATAGGTATAGAGCAATGGTAAGAAGACGGCTCGGAAAGGACAGGCCGATGTTGTTTACAAATAGCAAACATGAATAGCCAAGTGAAGTGCCGGCATGACACTGTGTAGTAACTTAATGTGTTGCAGATTGCTCATGCCGAAGCGTCTAAATTTCATGTGAAAACAAAGAAATATGCAACTTTTGCTTTTATGTTATGTTACTAAAAATTAGATCACCCCAAATCTAAATATGTAAAGCCTTTATTGAAAACTTGACATTAGTCTGTCCTTTTCATACCTTATAAAGCATGATAAGGACAGACTGATGTCGTTTACAAATAACGATACGAATAACCAAGTGAAGCGCCGGCATTAATGATGATACCATGGATATAATGGAAATGTAAAGCAATTCTTTCTAGTAAATAAAATGTTTAGTTGCTTATCAGACAGTTTCTTGAGTTCTAATGCATAATCTAAATGAATTGCAGTGATAATAATGCATTGAATGGAACTATTAATAAATCTATTTGATTCAAACTACGGTGTTATTACCTAGTTTCTTCTCCCTTGCCTCGGCTATGGCAGATAAAATAACAAATTATTCACATCAGAAATTTTAAAATCATGTCAAATTTTAAAGAAAGAATATAAGACAGGGCTCCCAAATGGTTCTGACAAGGGTATATTTTCATTTATTGCTGCATAAGTAAAAACTTCCAAAAAAATATGACGCCAAAATACACAGAGCTAAACAAAATATGGCCTTATTAAATACCCAAAGACATGATTTCAGTGAAATAGATTTTTAGATGAAAATATAAAATACTAATTTTCTTTTGTATTTCAAATACTTCTAGGAATTCAACGATTTTCAATTCTCTTTCCAATACGGATGATGATCAAACTAAGTAAGACTTATCACAGGAAACGTTTTGCAGCAAAGCCTTATAAGTAAAACGGAGGTCGCAAAATCATTAACGTATAAAAACAAGTAGAATCGTTCTTATCGTCCAACAAAAGTGCATCAAAAAATCGTCCGTGCGGCGCTCTGTTATACATAATTATAATTTAATTTAATCACAGTTTATAACCGAAAACTTTGTCATTGCGTGGCGTTGTAATCAAAGCGCGGTCGAATAACGACTGTTTAAAAATTACGCACAATAAACGCGTGTGCGTAATTTTGGTTCCGACACTTTTTGAGCGCGATTGTGTGTGAGTCTACTTATTTTTATACAACAATGTCGCAAAATGCATACCTTGCCATAACAGCACAATATGGTTCGCTCGTAAATCTCGTAATATTGAGTCAAAAACCCATTATCAACACAATATAGCACTACAAATATAAGATCCAATCTCAGTACAAGAACTAAAGCAAAGACGGAAGATTCTCACAGAAAGTATTGCCCAACCAAAAAGTATTAGTGGTGTGTTAGCAGGTAGCATTTTACATTAGATAGCTTTTTCATTCGGTATCGTAAAGGTAACAAAGGCATACAAAGGTATCCAATTTGACGTTTGTATAGTGGTACGCACACTGTATATAGCAACATATATTTCAGTCTGTTTTTAGTTTATTATTATATATTAAATACCCTAGACACACCAACATATAATATAATAACATTAAGGAATATTTCCTCAAGCTGGACTCTGCCTGATCTTTTTATCTGTTTATTACTATTTATTGTATTTTATAGCTTCCTTACATACTTACTATATTGTATATTATTATATTTATGTTTATTTATTTATTTTTACAATGCACCAGCCCGCTGTTTCCACTGTTCTTATGGTATGGTTTCATTTAGCCAAAGGTTGCCTGGTAGAGATTGCTACCTTAGCAATAAGGCCGCCTTTTGTGTTTTTGTTTCTGTGTTTTAAGTTCTCTGTATTGTGTGTAATAGTGCAATAAAGAATATATTCATTCATTCATTATTCATTCATTCATTCATTCATTCAACACGAACAAAATCGTGCCCGAAACCTGTCCAAAAGGTACATTGTATGATCCACGGATCTCCGTAAGATGATCGCGTAGTCAAAAACCATATAAGGCATTATTACTAAACCTTATAATATAGACCCTATTTTTCTTTGACACTACGCGCAATTATGAATGAATGCGCTGTTAACAATATAGCAGGTACGGACCGCGAAGAAAAGAGACGACCATATAACCTAACATGCATTTGAATATCACAAATATTTTCTATTAAATCAGTTTATAGTAAGTATTACATCAAAATTTGTTTCAAATCATTAAATTAACAAACATTGATTAGATACCTGTCGAAAAAACGACACTACGTACTATAAGTATTTATTTCGCATTTTTTCACGGAGCTCTGCGGCATGTTAACTTTTCAACAGTCCGCGCGTGACTGTGAACCAAGAAGTGCTTGAGTGGTGTTCAAGCACTTCTTGATTAGGACACATTTTGAGCGCACGTGGTGTATCTAGGGTATTTAATATCGTTGTCTATATGTAAAAATAAGATAAGAATATAAGACGACTTTATGCTTTCCTTGCTTTAGTTCATGCTCTGAGGATCCTATATTAAAATTTAGCATAATAAATTGACACATACCTTGTTGCGGCGCTTGATGCCTAGTGGCTGGAGCCGGTACCGGCGCTGGGGGTAAAGTAGGCAGTAATCTATGGTCTACGTCTTCCATATCTGCGAATTTAAACTCTATGGTTAGTTATGTTGATGACTATTATTGATTTTAACCTCTTGTCATCCTGCTCTAAACGGCATGACCACCGCAAAAATCATATCACTTTGTTAAACAAAGTCCCTCGCCGCCTCTATCTTTATGTTCTCGAAAGTACTGAACGGGTTTGCGTGCAATTCTCACTATTTGATAATTTTCCAAGGTAAAAACCATTATGTCTGTAGTTTGTGGATTCGTACAAGCTAGAATCCACGAACTACAGTCTCCTAGGGCGAAACTGTTCTTAAATATATTTTTTTATTTACATTGGTAGAGACATAGTGCAATTCAAATGAATGACAGCCATGAACGTAGCGCAAGTCGCTCCGCAGTAAACGAAATGAAAGCGAACTTTAACACTATTAACGGGATTGTTACCATGTATGTGCATATATAGGTGGGTGTGTGTGTGTGTGTTTGTATCTGTGTTCATAAATATGTGCGTGTATTATATCGTATATATATAAAGGTGTATCTTTATACTTATTATTATAGGACCGTGGCAAGTAAATCCTCAGTTTTTTTATAGTTTAATTTAAGCAATAAATTTGTGACCTCTTTTATAATTCTTTTTTTTAAATTTAGTTTAATGTTAAAAGAATCATGCAAGAATCTAGCCAAGTGTTATTAGTTATATACTACCGGCCTAATATTGGTAAGAGGAGCTCGATGGCGCAAGAGTTTAGCCCTTTGGGCTGCGATCGTTGAAGTTAAGCAACTTTCGCTGTGGTCGATCATTGGATGGGTGACCAAAAATTTTTATTTATTTTAATTTATTAAATCTTGAGCTCCTCCGTGGTTCGAAAGGCACGTTAAGTCGTTGGTCCCTACTGCATCTGCAGTCGTTAGCTCCCAACAATCCGCACTGGGCCCGCATGGTGGGTCATGACCCGATCTCCCTATTATGGAATAGGGAGATCGGCTCGATCTCTGTGGGCTTCTATTTCATTTATTTAATACTAGTGTCCCGCCCTCGCTTCGCTTCGGTGTAGAGCTGTAGTGTAAACTATAATTTTTGTTCTCAGGCTTGTGCTATAGAGAATGACTTTATTTATATAATTACACGTGTTATTGTGAGTCAACCATTAAAGATAGACATATGCTGTTGCAGAATATTTTTTAGACAATTTTATGTAGAATATTTCCGCCATACATGATGTAACTTTAACCATTAAGGCTGCACCCGCGACGGAAGCTTAAAAAATGGAGTAACTTCTCCCGTTTTCCCAACATTTGCCTTCACTACTCTGCTGCTATTGATTGTAGCGTGATGAAAAGTATACTATAACCTGCCCAGGAGTATGAAGAATAATTGTACCAAGTTTCGTTAACATCCGTCGAGTAGTTTTTGTTTCTATAAGGAACATACAGACAGACAGACAGACAGACAAAAATTTTACTGATTGCATTTTTGGCATCAGTATCAACCACTAATCACCCCCTGATAGTTTAGAGGTCAATTCTGTACATGAAATATATTTTGAAAATATATTTCATGTACAGAATTGACCTCTCTACAGATTTATTATAAGTATAGATAACTTCTAGTACATACTGCTTATTGTTTATGCTTTTGTTTTGCCCCCTGGTGTTATTAATTAAATACTTACGTCCTAAGATCGGTAAGGCAGGCGGCGGTGGTGGCGGCGGCAGTATTCCCCTATGATCCACATCTGAGACCGGAGGCGCCGTTGATAACGTCTAAATTAGTAGAAAAAATAGAAGAAAACGGTTTTTATAATTTTTATTTTTTTAAGAATATTACTGCTCGATGTTAAAATTTTAAGAAACATAACTAGAAAAAAATCCACGCAGACCTAGCAGCAGACGGGACTCGAACACGCACCTTTCGCTGTCCTGGCGAATGAACTGACCATCATCACAGAATATACGCACTACGCGAAAAGAAGCGACACTTAAGCGTGTGTGCTCGTAAAATCGCCCGCGGCTATGTGGGTATCTGGAGGTGTTGCGCGGCGCGCGGGACGTGAAAAGGGCAGTCGCCGACTGCCTCGACCGAAGGCATGGCAGTAGCGAAATAGTAAAATAATAGCGTTGCACTGCATTGCACGCACAGACTGACTACGCTACGCAATCTTATTATTATTTAGATAATAATAAGAATTATAAAACGAATCGAAAAAGGAGAAAGTATATAAAAGTTAGCAATTTGTTATAGTACCTACATTAAAAGATTAAAAATTGATTATAAAATCAAACCTATCTTTCATTATTTACCCCAGTATCCTTGAATCAGTTTACATTTAATAACTTAGTATGCATAAATATTCATTGGCACAAGTCTAAATTCCAAGTTCAACCCTAGCGCATACACGCTCCTGCTCAAGGTCACTGACGCTGGAACTCTCACGTACAGAGAGTGTCACCGCTGTGCCATTATGCTACCGCGGCCCTGATGGCCGTATCGAATTCTTTCTATCCTTTTTTTTACTACAGTAAAATCTTTTTAATAAAACAATAAAAATTTTAGACTTTTTTGTAATATCACAACTCACCCCTGTTTTCCCACCCTTAGGATAGAATTTTTGTTTCTAATTTCATATGGGATCAACTTCGAGGTTATACCCTTTCCAATAAATAAAAATAATAAAAATCAGACTACTTACTACAATCAATGTACTCACCGGCACGCGGGTATACGAAACAGGTACAGGCGGCGCGGGCGGCGGAGACTCTGGAGTATCGGCGTATATGTTGCGCGGCGAAAGTGGCGCCGGAACCGGAACCGCCACCGGAATCGGAACCGGCACCGGAACCGGAACCGGAACGGGTGCGGGCGGCGGCACCGGGGCGGGGACGGTTAGCGGCGCGGCAGCCGGCATTGGCACGGGGGCCGGCTACGGTTACGAAAACCTTAATGTATTTTATGGTCTTTTGCGTGCTACCTTTATTGATTTTTAACCCCCTTATTAATAAACGTAGACTACACTTGGATTAGTTACTCCATGTTTTGTCTCTGTCTATTGAATGACAAACGGCATTTGAGTGATATGAACAAAACACAGCGTAACTAGTCTAAGCTTATCTTATATTGATGCCTGGTGAAACAAGAGATAGGCCGATTTGAATTAAAATTTTACACATTTTTATTGTGAGGAGGAGGAGGAGCTCGATGGCGCAAGTGGTTAGCGCGTTCGGCTGCGATCGTTGAAGTTAAGCAACTTTCGCAGTGGTCGGTCATTGGATGGGTGACCATAAATTTACTATCTCGACCTCCTCCGTGTTTCGAAAGGCACGTTAAGCCTTTGGTCCCTGCTGGCATCTGCAGCCGTTAGCACCCACCAATCTGCACTGGGCCCGTGTGGTGGGTCATGGCCCAATCTCCCTATTCCATCCATAGAGAAGGCCTGTGCCTCAGCAGTGGGGACATTAATAGGCTGATGATCATGATGCTGATGACATTTTTATTTAATTGTACAAGATGAATCAGAATATGAGGGTTAGGCTTTTGCGCTGACAGCCTCAAATGTGAATATGAATATATTTTATCCAACAAAGTTTTAACAAAATAATTGACTACAAAATTTATAAACACTCACAGGCGGAATCCATGTTGCGTTGTTCCAAGGGCTGGCTGATTCTGGCTGATATGGTGGATCAGGATCTAAATCTGAAAAGAGAACCTATATTTAGAAAATGCAAATCACTATCATTAGGAAGTTAGGCCATTAGGGCCACGGTAGCATAATGTTCAGTGCATTCGATTGGATAGCGGAAGGTGCGGGTTCGAGTCCCGTCTGCTGCCTGGTCCGCGTTTTTTTTCTAGAAAAAAAATATTTAAATTTAAACATCTAGCAGTTAAATGCTTAAAAAATAAAAATATACATCTAATATATAAAATTCTCGTGTCCTGGTGTGCGTAATTGAACTACTCCGAAACAGCTCAACCGATTTTCATGAAATTTTATATGCATGTTCAGTAGGTCTGAGGTCTAGGTACATCTATTTTTCATCCCCCTAAATGTTAAGGGTCCACCCTTAAAATTTTATTTTTCGGACATGATTTTGTTTTTTTTTTATGATACATCATAGAAAAATGCATGCAACCCTACATTTTCACCCTTCTACCACCAACCCCTATTTTTTTATGGCGGTACGAAGTTCGCTGAGACAGCTAGTACTATTATAATATTATCAATTTACATACCGATCACGTTATCCATTGAGCCATAGAAGGACGTTGGAGGTGGTGGATTTCCCGTAGAATCTGGAGTTAGCAGATCCAGTCCGGGCAATGTGTCTTGAGACTTTTGAGACATCGTTCCACTGGCCACTGAGCGAATAATTAAGTCATCAATTAATAAAAATATTTGTTAACAATAATAACAGACTTTATAAACAATAAAATGAGACAAAAAAACTGCCTATCAGGAAACCACAAAGGTTTCCCGTAGAATCTGGAGTTAAAAGATCCAGTCCAGGGAATATGTCTTGAGACTTTTGGGACATTCTGACACTGGCCACTGAGTGCAGAAAGTAAATTTACTTTCCTAAAATAAAACCTTTTTTTAGCAAACAAATCTGAGTTCATAAAAAAAATATCTTTACAGGAAACGAAACTTAACGTTGGTATGAATGAGACAGTAAGTAGAATGTGTGCGGAAAGAGTGAAATAGATTGTAGGATGGCCAAAGGGGAAGATCTTCCTCCGAGCTGGGTGATGTTAGCTCGGGGGCCGCGCCGCGGCCCGACTGATGTCGGTCGGGCATCGTATATATGAAGAGTTAGCCGCCGAATTTCATTTGCGCGATGTAGGCTTCCATACTAATATTGATCGCAGTGCAGGTAACGCCATCTCTTGAGGATGGTGAGTAATGATTTGTTATATCCGTTGTATATCTGTGGGGCATATAGATGTCGCCGCCACAAGATAAAGAACATTTTAATCGGCTGATAAACTGAGAATGATTTTATGACGCCTGTGCAAATGTAGGTGGTAGAGCGGTATATATAATAGTGGTGCGTCTTCGACGCTTTTTCGATCAACGAAACGAGACTGTTTATCGTTTAACTTAAACTGGCTGGTTTTTTTTCGACTAGTTTACGTCAACGACGAATACTGAACTGAACAAAAAAAAAATTTGCTGTACTGGTTCCTTTAAATAGGTTTAATAAACGACTTTTAGAATAAACTGTTTAGAGAACAATGTTGTCGCTTGCCAATCGACGTCCAACGACGGTTCAGTTTGTAAGGGGTGGAAATGAACTTCATACTTTTTCAGGCTCAGGACTGGCAGGCAGGCTTATTAATGAAATTTTATATTTACTTAATTAAAAATTATATGAACTTATACCTACATAATAACATTCCATCATGCCTGGCGTATACGCAAACCGCATTTAAAACTGTTTGATTGTTATGTCATATCAGATGTGAAAATTTCAAACATTTATTTATTACAGAATATTATATAAAGAAGCACCCATCCTATATGAACGGCCATTGCGAAAGTTGCTTAACTTCCCTGATCGATCGCAGACCGTACGCGCTAACCATTTGTGCCATTTTTTATGTTAAAAGGGTGGCAAACAGGCATATGGCCCACCTGATGGTAAGCGACCACCATAGCCTATAGACGCTTGCGATCAGGGTTACTATTTAAAATTTTGAAAAGTCCTAACAAAAAGCCGGACATTTCGATAAAAGTCCGGATATTTTAGTCACAAAATGCAAACATCGCCCACTTAGTTACTGTTGTATTATACGCGTGGTAGCAGACGCCCACATCGTGAGAGGAGTCTCGTTGTTGATTTTTAAAGATGATTTATATTTTGTTTTAAATTAATAAGAACTAAATAAACATTATTTCACTTATTGGATGTAACTTAATAAGTAGTTTTACTCATATTCCACCTAATTAAAAAAAATCCGGACAATTAAAAAGCCGGACAAAGTCCGGACATGTCCGGACAAATCCGGACGGATGGTAACCCTACTTGCGATACAAAAAATATCACTCGCGCCGTTGCCTAATCTAACCTCATTCCCTACCCCATGGAAATCGAATCTTACTCACCGACAGAAACACAACACCACCAAAAAGTAGTGTTATATTACTCTGGTCTTCTGTAAGGTGGAGGCAACTTCCCCAGAGGGGCGCTCTCATTGACGACCTCCGTAGCCGAGTGGTTTGTACGCCGGGTTTCATGGTGTCGCCGACTCGAGAGGTCCCGGGTTCGAATGCCGGTGGGGGCAGATGTTTGTGTGATGAATATGAGCATTTGTACTCCAGTCATGAATGTTTAATATTGTCACAAACGCTCTCGAAACGTTACCGCGAAAGTGCTAGAGATCGAATTTGCCAGAGCACAGCGGGTCGCGATAGAGGTCGAGTAATGCGGCTCATTCTAAAATGAGCCTTATGCAGTGCGGCGTAAGGGAGAAAGTGCAACGACATCTGCACTTGTTTACAAGTTATCTCTGTGATAGTCACGACCGTCCTCTCCGCTCTGCTGATTCATTAGCTCTCTATATTCCTCTTTCTCATTCAAGCTATATGTCCAACTCCTTTACTCTTCAAGCCATACGACTGTGGAATGACCTTCCCGACTCCATCAGAAGATCTCCTAGTAAACTTGTATTTAAAAGGAATGTTCACGCTCATCTTTTGCAAAATTTAAGATGAAGTGTCACTTTTTAATCATCATCATGTATATATTATATGTATCTATATATATAAATATATATATATTTAAATATTATTGTGTTATGTTTGTATGTATTACATTATTTTTATGGTATGTATTTATTTATGTATCTATGTTTTTTGTACATTTATTCGTATTTAGCTTTATACCGCTGTTCGTGTTTCTCATTTTTCCCAAAGGTTGACTGGGAGAGAATGCTTTTAGCATTAAGTCCGCCTTTTGTACCATTGTTTATATTTTGGTCAATAAAGTTTAAATAAATAAATAAATAACTCACCTGAAATATTGTCAGGTGCATTTGTGCTGTTTTCGTTCGGTATCAAAGTCTTCAGAAAGTCGTTGATGTTGAAGTCTTGCTTCTCATTCGGCCTGCTGTTTATAACCTCTATTTTGTTGGCTAAAATGTGGAATTTTACGTTCAAAGCTCAGCCCCCCTAGCAGAAGCACCGCGATATGATATATAACGCGTTGTTATCACGCTGAATTGTCAAATTACTATGCAGTTTGACGGTTAGACGCGATAAAAACCGTGATATAATGCAAATTGTGGTGCTCATGCTACAGGGGCAGCAGTGCTATTCAGTAAGAACAAACTCACTTTTCACAACGGAATCCAGCTGTGTGATTTAATAATAAGTACACGAATCCTACTAATATAATAAATGTGAAAGTGTGTCTGTCTGTTACCTCTTAATGCTTAAAGTACTGAACTGATTTAAATGAAATTTAGTATACATACAGTTTCAAACCTGGGAAAGGATATAAGCTGGTTCTTATTCCAGAAATCATAAGAACTATCCTATGAGTGAGTGAGGGGGTGTGGAACTTTGAATGTGTAACCAAATTAAGTAAGGTAATGTAAGGCGGTTTGAGTTCCAAGATAGGCAACCATATCATCATCATCAGCCCCAATGCTGGGGGCACAGGCCTTCCCTATGGATGGAATAGGGAGATTGGGCCATGACCCACCACGCGGGCCCAGTGCGGATTGGTGGGTGCTAACGACTGCAGATGCAGCCGGGACCAACGGCTTAACGTGCTTTCCGAAGCACGGAGGAGCTCGAGATAGTAACTTTTGGTCACCCATCCAATGGCCGACCACTGCGAAAGTTGCTTAAGTTCAACGATCGCAGCCGAACGCGCTAACCACTTGCGCCATCGACTCCTCATCAACCACATACTTCTTACATATTAATATATTAATTGATTTAAAGCTATTTATGAGCTACAACAAATATACAAAAGCAGCATTGAAATGTCTACAACTTTATACACTAAGTTTAATTCAATGTAAATATATAGTAAGGGGACTGATGGGATAATGTCAGTTTCCACGTTGTAACGTGTTAAAAACGTTACATGAATCTCCTTCGCTCGAAGAGCGAGATAGAAGATTTTTTTAGGTTGTCTCTCTGGTCGTTTTTATCTCGCGCCCATTTTCGTTAATCTGTGCACTTTTCGTTATTATGTTTCTGACTTTATCAAGCAGTAGGCTGTATGGACGTTGTTCTCTTTGCCTTTCCGGCAAGAGAAAACGAACTTGAGAAAAAACTAATGTCACTTCACTTCACGACGTAATTTTTACGTAAAACATGTAAGAATCTTAATCTAAATTTATAACTTGATAATCCATTGGATTGTCGATTGTTTTTAATGATGGAATGAAACCTTAGTTAGCACCATTTACACGAAATGGCGGGTGGTGTCCCAAAAGCTTAATTTGTTTATAAAACGCGAAAAGCGTTTTTTTATTTGGATTTTTTTTATTCAAACTTCAACATTTCCCGTAATGTGGAGGTGAACCCACGTGATGTAACTACGGACATCCCTTAAATATTTACAACACCAGACATATACTACCCAGATCAGATGCAGCAAAGTCGGTAATGTCCAAATTCATTGTCGTACCCGAACCCCAATATCAGGTAAATTTTCATTTTATTTTCGGTAGAATCGTAGTCTTAGTTTCAAAATTTAGCAGTAACCCTTTTGGACCAGTAATTCTGTAGTAAATTTAAATAAATTGACAACCCAAAATGAATATGCATTTGCATTAAACTCCCCTTGCGATAAATAGTCCATTGCTTTCTCGGCTAATATGGTTTAATGATGGTGTGGTAGGCCTGGCACCCGAGTATTTTTTTTTAATTAATTTCGGCCTATCCATTTAAAGTAACTATTACAATTGTCACCATTTCTTTTATTTTTAATATTACAATTGACGCCAGCGCACAGGGACGTGTTTATGCAATCCATTTCATTTTGTACCTATAATAGTAGTCTTAGTTTCAAAATTTAGCAGTAACCCTTTTGGACCAGTAATTTTGTAGTAAATTTAAATAAATTGACAACCCAAAATGAATATGGATTTGCATTAAACTCCCCTTGCGATTAATAGTCCATTGCTTTCCCGGCTAATATGGTTTAATGATAGTGTGGTAGGCCTGGCGCCCGAGTATTCTTTTTTAATTAATTTCGGCCTATCCATTTAAAGTAACTATTACAATTGTCACCATTGCTTTTATTTTTTAATATTACAACGTGTTCCTCAAAAATAATATTAAACATAGGTTCCTTACAATTGACACTAATGGTCACTCGCAGCAAATTTGCTATGACTCTGTTTTACAAAAACCGGATACCTATAACCCACAGAAAAATGTCAAGACATCAAATCGAGTTTAAGTTAAATTGAGATTTAGCAACATTGCTGCAAGTGGTGAGCCCATAATTAAATCTTACGACTTACCATTGCTATGATTTTCCCCAGCATCGCTGAATATAGACAACGCATTGTCATTGTTCAAGAAGGATGACAGACCCAAGTTGTAGAGAGAGCCGTCTGCTGCCATGGATGTGTTGAATGTTCGGTCAATGTTGTACGAAACTGGCAGAGTGAATATTTAGTTGCGTTAATTTTACTTTTTTAGTCGTAGGATGATTTGAAAATTCGAATTACAAAATTATCATAAAAATGGATTTTTGAGAAAACGTGAGTCGCCTCAGTAAGATTGCGAAAAGCATCGTTGGCTTATCTGTACATATAATAAAATGGTAGTAAAGTCAAAACTGAACATTGAATTTTTTTTTTAAAGAATACTTGGGGTGTGATCTACAATCGATACCGAAGTTAAAAATATAGTTTTTAGAATTTTCGTCTGTTTGTCTGTATGTATGTCCGGGATAAACTTAAAAATTGCTGCATGGATTTACTTCAAACTAGGTTCAAATATTATTAAGAAGTTGGGTCAACATATAGGCTACATATTATCACGCTATCACCTACAGGGAACGAGCAGTGAACCTTTATTTCTAACTAACTCCACGCGTACGAAGTCGCGGGCGGCCGCTAGTTATAAATATTATTGGGTGTTTTCTGTTCACACTCTGTTAGGTTAGTGTTATGACCATTTCGCGCGAGCCGAGCGAGCGTAGCGATATGCCACGACAGCGTGCAGGGAAGCACCAAAAAAGATATTTGCCAATAGTAAGATTGAGCAATTCCATCGCCATTGTCTAGTTTTCACAAAAAACCTAGGATTTTCACACACAACCAATTAATCAAATCGTCCTATGACACATATTAGTACTCGCAGTGGTAAATGCGAAAGCAAGTAACGCTTTCAGAGGCCCAAGCATGTATTTTTTCTTATCGTATCATCATCGTCAAATTTTGGTTTTCGCTGCTTAGTTTTCATAGAAACTTTGACTGAGCTGTCAAAATTCGTGCTTGGGCCTCAGAGTTAAATCACTTTTGGTGTGTCTGTCTGCCGCTCTAAACTTCGTTTTTAGCTTAAGATATAAGTTAGTTTTTAACTTTCTCTTTCTCTCTCTTCTTTCGTATTAGGCCTTGTAAAAAATAAATTAGAGTCTGTGCTGAAAGAGAATGGGCGTGGCGAAATACGGAACTAACATTAAGATTTTTATTTGGCAATCAAACGCAGCAATCTGTAAAACGTCAAAGTTTTGTATTGATACGGATTTGTTTGTTGTTGTGATTTCTTGCGGTGTTTTGTATTTAATCATGTCGAAAAGGGTTAAACCCTTACAAATACGGTAGAAAAGTACTACAGCGCCCTCCAATCTAAATCCCATTCTCTTACCGCACAGACTCTACTGTGTTATTTACCAAATATATCTCTTTCCTCTCTAGTCTTTACTTCTCTTTTTGCTTCCAAATTCTACCTTTCCATTCTTTCTTTAAAGCTGGCGCTACAGTCTCAAGTAACGGAGTGTAACGTTACATGCAAAATTTATTATTCTGAATTTTACTATAGTGTATACGGGATTCCGAAGGCACGTTAAGCCGTTGGTCCCGGCTGCATCTGCAGTCGTTAGCACCCACTAATCCGCCCTGGGCCCGCGTGGTGGGTCATGGCCCAATCTCCCTATTCCATCCATAAGGAAGGCCTGTGCCCCAGCAGTGGGGACATTAATAGGCTGATGATGATGATGATAATGATGTATACGGGATTTGGAGGAAAATAAGGACTTCCTTTTCGCGCGGCAATATAAATTAAAGGTGATGAAAAAGGGGATCAAAGAATGTATGGTAAACTAATTAAATCAAACTAATATAGGACTTTAAAAATAGATCAGTTTCAATCGCGATTTATTACATTTCTTTACGTTTTTCACGACTATTTTACAGGCTCTGATGCAAGATTTTTTACTATACAATTAGTGTGCCGAAAAACATAAAAACAAAAAACCATGACGCAAATAAAACTTATAAAATCACTAATTAAATAATACATCCTAATACGACATTCAAACAAATAAAAAAGTTCTTCCCTGACTGGGAATCGAACCGAGTCTTCCGAAGTTAAACAATCTTTCTACCACCGAGCAACCTGTAGATTATATCAGAATTTTTAAATAAATCTAAATGCTTAAAGATGAACAAATAAATTTGTGGTGATGTAAAAATCATCATCAGCCTATTAATGTCCCCTCTGCTGGGGCACAGGCCTTCCTATGGATGGAATAGGGAGATTGGGCAACTACCCACCACGCGGGCCCAGTGCGGATTGGCGGGTGTTAGACTGCAGATGCAGCAGGGACCTACGGCTTAGCGTGCCTTCAGAAGCACAGAGGAACTCGAGATACATTTTGGTCACCCATCCAATGACCGACCACTGCGAAAGTTAAAGATGTAAAAATAATCAGAAATAATGTCTCACTGTCATCCTGATCGTTGTCCACGGGTGCGGGGAGGTCGAGATCTTCATCCGGACCCGGGGAAGGCACATCTTCGTCCCTTTGAGGGGGGGAAGGCGCCGCGTTCGGTAAAGTCGGTATTAACTCGTCTAGTTTACGTTTCAATGCCCGCACGCGAGCACCGAAGTTTTTATACGCCTGTTTTGGGATGAAATTATTAATATAAGGTTCTATTGATATTTCATACATTCACTTAAATTCGATCAACACCAAAATACACACTGTAATATGTACTTGTTGTTTATGGGTAAGGCTCAACTCACACCAAAAGAGCGCAGCGAAGCGGAGCGCAGTTTCAGTGTCATATGAATTTTAACTTTATTTTCATTGCTATAATACTTATTATCGCATGAAAAACTCGAACGACTCGCGCGGGTTCGCGGGAATTCCGACGAATTCTATAAGCGCGCCTTCTCTACCAAGCGGGTCGCTGCGCTTCGCTGCCCTTCGCCGCTCTTTCGGTGTGAGTTGACCCTAAGAGATAGAAATACATATCACCATCATGCAGATGTAGCCGGGACCAACGGCTAACATCCCTTCCGAAGCACAGAAGAGCTTGTATTATAAAATTTATATTGATGTTATCTAATTATATAGACAAGTTAAAATCTACAGAATAATAACTCACATAAGCAACCACTTTAACTTCGCCTCTTTGAGTAGAATAGTACTGAGTGGCAGACGTCAACAGGGCGAGTAATGCTTCTCTGGCCACTATTTCCCTCTGCAAGGCTTGCGTGTATCGCTCCACACATGAAATACCTTCATTTAATTCCTTTTCTACATCATCTTTGTGGCTCCTCTCTGTAAATTCTTCAAGTTAGTTTTTTTTTGTAAAATGGGAGGGGAGAAGAGTGATAAGCTTGTTTCAAGTCTAAACCAAATTCTTAATTCTCCATTCACTGACAAAAAACTATTTAGTGAACTATATTTATTTCTATAGCCATATAATATAGAATTAAGATGTTACATATTTTGGAGTTTAATTCAGTCAGATTTATGTAAGATAAAAAATTAAAAGATGTTTGTGTTTTATATATAAAATATCTTTGAAAAGGTTTCACAATAGGAGCTAAAGTTTATAAATATATTTTTATTTTTTTAAGCATGTAACTGCTTGATGTTTAAATCTAAAGAAAATATAACTAGAAAAAAGTAGTAGCTAGGAGCTAAAGGTGTTTAATATTAAAATAATGATCAAGAAAGTAAATGGCTTTGAAAAGGAAAGAAAGCACTTATTCTAAAGAACCTTTGTATGCTGTTGATATAGTAAGGTCCATGAGATATCATGCAAAGGTTTTTACTAATAAATATTAAGTAAGATCAGATATTATGTTGTGATGAACTATCTCATTTACCTTTAAGATTTAAACACAAAGCATCTGCATCTGAAAGCTGCAAATGGCTTTCATGGATATACTTTAACCGCAAATCAGTATCTGCTTCTAATACAGAACATTGTTTTATCTTATTAACAAGTTGCTGTGGCTGAAACAAAACATACAAAATTTTTAAAAATATAATATTATTGCTCTTGTAACTAATTAATTACTATTACGGGTAACCCTATTACATGGCTTTTTTTTTTGTTTTGTGAGTGTGTATGCTGTTGGTCGCAGATGACCTATACAGCGTCACGGGACGGCGAAATCCAAACTTAAATTGAGACTTTGAATAAAGGACACTTTTGTATTGATACAAAGTATAGATCAAAATTGTGCAGTGTGAAGGAGAAATCAACAAGTTGCCGATTTTGAATCTAGCGAAAAATTGTTGTGTGTACCAATATAATAGTATGATTATGAAAGCAGAAAGCAACCATTTGTAATTTTCGGATCGAACAGAATAAAATTTAAGCATGGGTTCATAGAACCAATTTTTGATTGCTTCAAAATTACCCACTGTTTTCTTTCTGCTTACAAATGCTCAATCACAAATTAATAATATGGCAATTCAGACATGCCATATAGTTGAAACATGCACAAATCATCTATGCACATGCACTAATCTTCTAAAGGGATCAACCTGGAATGGTTCCTTTCCAAAGTAGTTTTGTTATCATGTTCTCTGAACTAATAATGTTCCAGTTTCAAGGAACTAAATACAGACCAAATCCACCACATGTGTCTAATTTAGTTGCTTTATAGGGTTTTCAATCTACTAATATGTCACTCTCATCGTACACTAACCAAAATTTATACAAAACTAATTCAATTGCCATATGAAACACTGTACTGCTATCTTGCAATGCAATAAATAATTTTACCTGGAAGTCCAGAGGATCATCATCAGTCTTTTTAATGGCACCAGCACTTAGCAGTCCAGTGAGATCAGACAGGAACTCATCATCATATACTGACCTTTGCTCCCAAATTTTAAATATGCGGAGTATTTTTGGTCGTACTTTCTCATCTCTAAAATAAAGTATATTATTGTTCAGTTTATTAATTAAGCAATTTTATGAATACACAAATGTAATAAAAAAAAAGTTTTAACGGGTTAGATGCACTGATTTTATTTATTTATTGACGTTTCGCATCCTTTGCAGGAATGCATCATCGGAATCTTGCAAAGGATGCAAAACATCAATAAATAAATAAAATCAGTGCACCTAACCCATTGTAACTTGTTTTATTTAATGAGTGATGTGCATGAAAACCTACAAAAAATAAGCTGAGCCATTACAAGTATTAAATTTCCTCACAAGGAATGTGATTATGGTATTTTTTTTATTATTACCATTATTTAAAAATAGAACCCAAGCATCAAATCATAAACATAATACTACCATCAAAACGAATTTCTTTATTTACTTTATATAACCTACCCTGGCATCTGTATAACCTATTCTATGTAGGTGCAGAATCAAATCTTGATAAAACTCACCTGACTAATGGTGTGGCCTTTTGTAAATTAAGGCCCCAACTCTCAACAAACTCGTAATTCTTTCTTTTACTATACTGTATAACATCATTAGCTAAATAAAACAGAGTCAATCTCTGTTCAACCTTAACTCTCTTCAGCACATTTAACCAACTAGAAACAATTTTTTTATGATGACTCCTCTGTTTCAAACACCAAGAAGATAATGACTGAATACTCTCCTGAGTATCCTTTAGCTGCATAAGCCTTTTCTCAAAGGCAAGAGTGTTAAATTCTTCAATCTCTCCCATTGTTATTAAATTAACACAGAGAATCACAAACACATTTTTTTATCCTGATAGCAACAAAACACGATATAGTGTTGCTTGAACTAAAGTTACACATTATAATTAAAGGAAAACCTTCCAACGCGTCTTTAGCATTAGATAAACATTAAAATTTAACACTTCAACACGTTTGTATGAACAAAATAGATGTGCTAATCCTGCCGCGCTTTTGCGGTGAAATTATACTATTTAAATAACACCCACGTAATCATATGGAACTATTTAAATCACGCATCATCAATCAGCTTCTCCTATTAGGACTACTAGATCTCAAATTACCAGTAAATAACTATATTCCAGACAAACGAAAGGCAAATTTATAAAGCGGAAGTCAATCTATTCGTGACAACAACCGCCATTTTCTCGAAAATTGTATTTTTTATTTTGCTGGCTTTGAAACTTGAGTACAGGCAATGGTATCGATTCTGGCGTGATTCTCTAAACTTAAAACTAAATTTAACATCAGTCTCTCCTTGTCAATCTGCATAGAGAATGACAAGGATGCACTGTTGTTAAATTTAAGTTTAGCTTTAGAGAATCATGCCAGAATCGACATCAATGTGATTTTGACTGACATAAAGTTACATCAGAGTTTTTGTTCTGAAACATTGCCTACACAAATTTCAAATGATGTCAGTTACAAAAAACCCTTTCATTGAATTTTAATAATTTACAAACGAAAATATTATAAAAGTCGCTTATTATGATCGTAATAATATTAATGTATTTATTTCAGGCACGGTACACCTATACAATACTACGCTTGCAAATTATAAAAACAATAACAGGAATATTATATATACATATACATACTATAAAATATATATATAAATAATATACTGGGCCCAATTCTGGCGTGATTCTCTAAACTTAAAACTAAATTTAACATCAGTCTCTCCTTTTCATTCTGTATAGAGAATGACAGGGATATACTGCTGTCAAATTTAAGTTTAGGTTTAGAGATTCATGCTAGAATCGACACCACTATATAATAATAACACATGTCAATTATTTGCATCATAGTGATGTCGATTCTGGCATAATTCTCTAAAGCTAAACTTAAATTTGACAACAGTGCATCCCTGTTATTCTCTATACAGAATGAAAAGGAGAGACTGATGTTAAATTTAGTTTTAAGTTTAGAGAATCACCAAGTCCCTGTTCGGGCGCCAATTGTAATATTAGAAATACAAAAGCAATGGTGGCAATTGTATTATTAAAAAATAATAAATTTTGAAATGGACAGGCCGAAATCAATTAAAAAAGAATATTCGGGCGCCTGGACTGTACCATATGATTAGCCGGGAGAGCAATGAACCATTAATCGCGAGGGGAGTTTAACGCAAATCCATATTCATTTTGGGTTGTCAATTTATTTAAATTTGCTACAGAATTACTTGTCCAAAAGGGTTACTGCTAAATTTTGAAACTAAGACTAAGATGTAAGTGAAAATGTTACCTTTAATGTGGGGCCGAAACACAATTAAGAATTTAGAAGATTACCGACCTCGTTGCATCTTTGGAGTTAAATATGTCTGGTGTTGCAAATATGTAAGGGATGGCCGTTGTTACATCCCGTAGGTTCACCTCCACCTCATGGGAAATGTTGTAATTGGAATAAGAGATCCAAATAAAAAATCCAAGTAAAAAAAATGGTTGCCTGTAAAGTCGGTTTTACGGGCGAAGATTTTACGTGACAACGTCTTTTTCTCGGTAGAATATTTATTGATATGAATATAATTAAATTGCACAATAGGAACAAGGAATTGAATGAAAATAAGAATTGCACAAATTTTAACTATAGAAATATATTTTGTTTACTAAAACATTGTACATGTAAACTTAAACTTAACACGAGAGACTCATCGTAACGTTACCGAGCGTTACACTTTTTCATAAGTGACTCCCAGCCGCAACCTAATTTAAGACGTTGTCACGTCAAAAACGCTTTTCGCTGAAAACAAACATTCCTCAGATTAGCACATGGCTCACAACAAAGGAAAAAATGTAAATCTAAGGAAAACTCTAAGGTTCTTACCGTTTTACAAACAAATTAAGCTTGGAATGTGATCATCCGCCATTCCGCGCAAACGGATTGATAACGTATTTAGGCATAATTTAAATTACTTAATTTTTTATATAAGAAATCAATAACACATATTGCAAAACAAAGGGAAGATGATCAAGTTTCTGTGGGTACCATCACACCAAGGCATAACTGGTAACGAGGTTGTAGATAACGTTACCCATAACAAACCTGATGAAGATCATACTCAAATTTGCAGAGTACCGTACATCGATTTTAACACTTATTTAACTGAGTCCCACAAACTGTTGTGGTCCAATTATTGGCATCATGTTGCTTCAGAGAAAGGGAAATGGTACCACGACATACAGAAGACATTGCCCGCCCGTCCGTGGTATCATCCTAAGCAACTTAAAGGAAATTTAAACCGCAACTTTATTACCACCACCTGCCGCATGAGATTTGGTCACTGTAAAATTCCTGCTCATCTACACAAGATCCGAATTGCCAGAGATTCCAAATGCATATTCTGCGAAGAGGAAGGAGCAGACTTGAATCATCTGATTCTGAAATGCCGTCATCAAGATTTTAAATTAAACAGACTTTTACTGTTCACTGACCTAAGTGACAGTGGTGTCGATTCTAGCATGATTCTCTAAACCTAAACTTAAATTTGACAGCAGTATATCCTTATCATTCTCTATACAGAACGAAAAGGAGAAACTGATGTTAAATTTAGTTTTAAGTTTAGAGAATCACGCCAGAATCGGGACCATTGACAGCTTGAATAACGTTTTATCAAGTGATATTAGTGATGACAATATTCTGCCTAAACTGCTCAATAATACATTAAGTTTTTAACCGCTTGTTAAATATTTAAATAACTCAAATATAACGTTATAAAATTTATCAACACAGAAGAATGGGGAAAACTTTGAACGAAGAAAGGAAAACCTTCCTGGTCCGGCAGAAAAGGGCTAGAACCCAGTGCCGTAAAACCAAAATAGAAAAAAAAAACTCTAAAATCAGTGTATATCATAGAGAAAAGTAATACACTGGAAAGTGTATATCCATAATATAATACTACTCTTTGGTGTATATTACCATACTCTTTGATCAGTGTTTAACCTACAAGATTGAATCGCCTAATTAAAGTTGAAAAAATCCCTTGGTAACAAGAACCACTGTATGTTAAAGTAATAATAAGTTTTGTACAGCTACGTTCTTTCCAGCCAAACCTTTACTGTAGGTCTACCTAAAATGTCGAGACTGGTTAGCAAAACATCACGATGCATCAACTGTTCATTGCGCATTAATAAAATTAAAAGTTATTCAATTGAAGAAATCAATGAAACTATGAGTAGTGTACTCTGCTCATGGACGTCTCCCACGCCGGTGAGTAAAATATTAATATATTCGAAACTGAAAGCAGCCTGCTGTACAGCTTATCTAGTATTCCATAGTACCAGGGGCATATTTTAGATATACTGTCCAGGGCCCAAAAGTAAAAACTTCAGTTTTGTTGGTTGTAATTTCGCATTTTTGTTGTTAAAAAGGTTTCTGTTAACCACATTTTTAAAAAAAATGTCACACTTATGCACTGGTAGTTTTATAGAAAAAAATATTGAAAATTTTTACTTTTCTTATCAAGTGGTGATACTTCACACTAGGTTAGATTAGGTTAGTGTTGTGACCATAACGCGCAAGCCGAGCGAGCAAAGCGAGCGTGCCGCGGCAGCGGCCGGCGAAGCGCCAGAAAAAAAAAATCTGTTAAAAAGACCTTTTCTACAAAAAAAAACAAGTATCACCTTTTGGGCCCTGGAAGTACAGTTTTACCCATATTTTCCCTAGGGCAAAAAGGCCCATGAGCCAGAGCAGCTAAACTGTATTTCCCGGGCCCAAGTAGTGATACTTCAGACTAGGTTATGTTAGTGTTGTGACCATAATGCGTGAGCCGCCTATCTGTTTCTTTAGTAGAAAAGGTCTCTTTTAAAAAAAATATTTTTTAAAAGAGACCTTTTCTACTAAAAAAACAGATAGGTAACACCTTTTGGGCCCTGGAAGTACAGTTTTACCATTTCTAAGTACTTATGTTTTTAAGTTGGTAGACTCTTCTCAAGGTACACTTTGCAATACTGCTGCTATTTTACTCTAACTATCTACTTTTGTGTCTATTTCAGTATTTAATTACAGATCAAACCTGATGATAAATTGTGCAAAGAATGCTACCAAATATTAGAAAGTATAGAGAAAGGAGAACTTCCACCACCACCAATGCTTGGACACATGAGTGTTTGCTTTAGCTGTGGTATCTCTTTGCTTCGATGTCGTTATCATAATGTTACATCTGACTGTCCAGAAAGGCAAATTATAAATCAATATATAATGCCTCATTTAGTAAGTTTTTACAGTTTTCTTTTATAATAAATTTAACAAGTAGCCTGTTGGTGCTATGTTGATTTTATGTACCTACCTCTAGTGGATGCTTCTTCTGTGTTCTTCCAAATCAATTTTCAAACCCTCAAAGGATGATTTCTAAAATAAAAACTTGTCCTTTCCTCGGACTTAAGTTATCTTTATACCAAATTTCATTTAAATCTGTTTGCTGGTTTAATAAGCATTTCTTTGCAATGCAGTTAAAATAAATAAAACGGCATGTGAGTTTCGAATTCAGTGGTAAAAACACTGGCTTTTAAGTTAGTATTTTTGCCACCATAAACATATTATTACAAAATTGGTTACCAAATATTTCAGGTGGACCGACTTACTAAAGTATGTCTAGCTTGTTGGTCGGCTGCAACTAGAAGAGTCAAAAAGAAAAGTCTGCAATACTCTAATACAACTAGCACTTATCATGTAGAAATAAAAGTAGAAAAAGATATTTCAGACCCAGAAACAGATACTATGGAATGGCAACAAGTCATTGTTAAAGAGGAAGGTCAACAAGACTCTATTATGACTAGTAATATTCATACAGAAATCAAACTGGAAAAAGATATTATAGAAACAGATACTGTAGAAATACAAGAAGACAGTGCTGATGAACAAACACTGAATATTACACAAACAGTCCAATTACAAACATACACACGAGCTCCTAATACAGCTGGTCGTTGTTTATTCAATAATTGCAAAGGTAAGGAAAGATTTACAGTGCCAGATCAATTGAAAGAAATGATGCTATGTCATTACAAGATTTATATACCGCCAGGTTCAAGGATTTGCGCTAAACATTTGACAGGGAATGATTTTGAACATCTAGAGTATGAATGCAATGAATTTACATCCACACATATAGACGATTTGCTTAGTATATTGGAAAGAGCTAACAAAAGAGAGTTAGACTTTGAAAATATATATATGATCCCACCAGAACTGTGCGAGTACTGGTTCGGTATGAGTGCCTGTGATTTCTACACTCTTTTGTTGGAAATACCTAACTTGCACAATTTAATTCCTAGCGCAAGCAAAGCGCTAAGTATGTTCTTACTAAAATTAGTTAGGAAAGACAGCATAAGGATATTGAGTGAATTATTTCTGGTGTCTCGTAACACTGTTGTACGTTATATATCTGCGGTAAAGATTTGTATAGCTGAAGAGTTGGGTCTGCCGGATGAAGAGGCTGAAGATGACGAAATTATTCATGATTATATCAAAAGCTATTTACAATCAAATGTTAAATTCAAAGGCATTTCAAAAAACAAGGATAAATCGAGCTACAAGTAAAGTTAATATGTAGTTATCTTATTCACTTTCACATAATATAATGATTTGCTCACCAACTGGGAGGTTTGTAAATAAATTGATTTTCATTTCAGATCTGAGGTGTTTTCATAGAATTTTTATGATTTTAAACCACAAATTGTTTTATAACTGGTTTATTTACTGCTCTACTGCCGCTGCAGTCAATACTAGTAGTAGCTTAACATGCCTTCCAAAGCTCAGAGGAACAAAGATGGGTCACCCATCTAGGGTTGCTAGGCCATAAAATGCAAAGGCCGGACTGCGCACTATATAAGGCCTGACATTTTGCCCTAAAAGCCGGACTTATTTATTACATCAGACAGCGGGGCGGGATAGTCACGCGCCGCGCGCGCCAACTGTTTGCTCTTTTGTCCGCTCGGACGCTCGTCCGCCCATCGTGTCGTACGAATCGCCACTCTGAAAAAAAGTCTGACAAAAGCCGGACAGGCCAAACACGTACATACTTGGCCGGACGCGACCGCAAAAAGCCAAACAGACACCTGGCAAGCCTACACCCATCCCATGACTGGATTTCGGAACAGTTACTTATCTTTAATTTTTTCTTTAATATCCCATAATACAAGCTTTGCGTACTTCGGAGCGAGGCATTGTTATGTGGGTAAAAAAAACGCTCTTCATCAGTATTTGATAATATTTTGCATTAAATTCAGGTATTGGTCGGAATCAATCTAACACGCCAACAGTTGGTTCCATAGTAGGTACAGTAGGTATATCAAAATTTATCTAAATAGGATCAGTTTTTTAGGCGCAGCATACACGGAGCGGCACCGCTATTACTATTTAAGTTACCCTAATTCCGATAATCATAAGTTTAAAAATTTCATGGCAAACATAATGTTAGGATATGATGGGGCTGGCATATCTTTATAAGGTAAAAGCCGCTAAATAAATAAGATTGAAAAAAAAATATATGGCAAACATGAAACTACACGCTCGGAGTCGCACCTCTCCTCTGGTGTGCGCAGAAAGGCTAATTAAAGTTTAAATTTAATTATGAGGAAAATTAAAAGCTCAGTTTGACTTCCCGCCAAAAAGTCCGAAACAGATCAAGCAAGCTCAGGGCTGCCAGATGTACGATTTAAATCGTATTCCTACGATTTTTGTCATTTTTACTCATGTACTTGACCACGATCGTACGGAAAGTGTACGATTTTTCTGTACCTGGCAACATTTCGTAAATATTATGTTTACCCCAATTTTATGAGCGTTCACACGATGAACCCCTACTCATCGTGTGAACGCTCATAAAATTGGGGTGACTTTTAAAAAAGCGTCCTCCGCTAACTATTTTTTGAAACAGGACGACTTTTTATCTATTAATAAAATGAAGGCCTTCATCCCTTCTCATCTAACGGAAAAAATTGGTGTACTAAAGTTTGTTCCTACAGACATGACAAATGAAGATATATACAAAAACTTAGTTTGTGATGCAGAAGTAATAGCCATTAAGCGCTTCATGAAAAAATTGGACAACACACTCACACCTTTAACCACAGTTGCAGTAACTTTTGCAACAACCTGCCTGCCTAAATATGCCTATATACAACTTTTTAGATATAAAGTACACCAGTATATACCCCCGCTACTACAATGTTTCATATGTCTAAAATTCAATCACTCGGCTAAAGTTTGCAGAAGTACCCAAATGTGCTCATCTTGCGCTGGTCAACACTCCTACAAAGAATGTGATGTGGAAGAAATTGTCTGCATAAATTGTAGTGGCAATCACTTGGCCATTTCAAGGGACTGTCCATTAAAGAAGCAGAAGATAGAAGAGAAACGTATTAAATATACTCAGCAAAACTATGCCGCTGTGGTGAGTTCTCCCCCAGCTATAAATGATATGAAATCTTACCCACCAATTTATAAGAGAAATAATGACCACTTTGATGTCAACCTAATCGCTAATAATGAAATAATACTTAATGCCATAGTCAAATCCCTTGTAGCTCTAGGCAACAACAATGGTAAAGCCCCCTTAACATCTAAGAAAATAAAAGATATATTTTTGTCAAATTTAATTTAATGGATAATTATTTGCATATAATTCAGTACAATATACAAAGTTTACAGAGCAAAAAAACCTTACTTCAAAAGCTCATTTTGGAAAAAAATAGACCTATATCATTATCATCTTGTTTAGGGAAATTATTTGAAAATATGTTAAAGTTCCGACTAGATTACTTTTCAGAAACCAACAAGTTGATTCTTCCAATCCAACATGGCTTTAGAAAGGGTAAGAGTTGCTCTGAAAGCTTTGTATCATTTGTTCATGATATTAAACCAGTCAAACTCAGTCATTCTAACATGATCTGTGTTTTCTTAGATGTCAAGGGTGCTTTCGACAATGTTAATATTGAAGTTCTTGTACAAGTATTGCACAACAGTAATATACCACTAAAAACAATAAAATGGCTCTATAAGTTTCTAACTAAAAGAACAGTGTATGTGAAATTCAATAATAAATTATATGGTCCCAAGATTGCCAATAAGGGCACAATGCAGGGAGCCCCTGTATCTCCTTTATTATATAACTTGTATACTTCGGAAATTTTAAAGTATGTAAATACAGAAAATGTGAATATATTGCAATTTGCTGATGACTTGCTTTTGTACAGTACCAATCAAAATATAAATATTGCACAAAACAACATTAACAATGCCTTAGAGCAGTTACAATACTATTACAACAACAAGCTTAAATTAGATATACGTTCAGAAAAGAGTTCTGTTTTAATTTTCAGTAAAACTAATTGTGATATAAAAATTTCATACAATAATATAGAGATTCCTATTGTCAGTCAACATAAATTTTTAGGAGTCATCATTGATAACCAGCTAAAATTTGACAAACATATTGATCACATTAGTACAAAAGCTTTAAGAGCAGTAACTGTTCTAAGATATTTAGCTGGAACTTTTTGGGGTTCAGATCCTCAGACCATTAGTATGCTGTACAAAAGCATAGTCCGTAGCCATTTTGACTATAGCAGTTTTGCTTATAAGAATGTGCCAGTAGCACACTGCTTAAGAAGTTAGACATAATTCAAAATATAGGCCTGAGGTTAATCTGTGGAGCAATGAGATCTACTCCTATAAACTCATTAGAAATTGAAACATGTATACCTCCATTGTTCTTGAGACGACTGCAATTAGCTATGAAATTCAATCTTAAGGTTTTATCTTCTAATAATATCCTTACAGAAAAGTTCAATCAAATGTCACAACTTTTCAATAATCCTGAAATGATAACAATACTCACTCATGTAAAAAACAACTGTTATGGAATTCATAACAGTGAAATGTGGCCAATATATACACGCCCATTTAAAAGTTTAATAAATGTTGATTCACTTAATTACCATTTGAACAAAATTTTTACTAACAACGACTTTTTAGAATTTAAGCACAGCTATATGAATTATTACTTTATTTATACTGATGGTTCTAAAGACAATAATAATGTCAAATCAGCCTATTATGATCCCCAGGCTGGTTACTCTAAATGTACCAAAATTAATGAACACTGTAGTATATTTACAGCAGAAAGCTATGCTATACAGCAAGCTCTAACTTATGTAAATAACCTTGTAAATAATGTAAATATTGTAGTAGTAACCGATTCAAAAAGTGTATTATCTGCCTTAGTTAATGGTATTTCATCTTATAAAACAAGTCATATACTGTGTAATGTAGTTCAATTAATAGAACAACTAAATAGGAAAGGAATAGAAGTACCAATTTCTTTGGGTTCCCTCCCACAGTGGCATAGAAGGTAATGAAATAGCAGATAGCCTCACACATATAGAGCAGGATGAAGATCATACCCACATACTGAACATTCCATTTACAGACTTCTACAGTCACTTTAAAGAAATTTCAAGACAGCTTTGGCAATCCTACTGGCAAAATACATTACAGACGAAAGGCAAATGGTATGCAAACATTCAAAAACACCTACCTACAATGCCATGGTATTCCAGAGTGAAGTACTCTAACAGAAAATTCATTACCACTATTACACGTATGCGCTTTGGACACTGCCTCATGCCAGCACATCTGCACAGAATAAATATTTATAACCACTCAAGATGTCTCCACTGTAATCAAGAAAATGCAGATCTTCAGCACATTATATTCAACTGTCCCAGTTTCCACATTCAACGGCTCATCTTCATCAATGACATCAGTGACATCTGTGAGCAAAGTCAAAACAGTTTCCCCCGCCACGTTCAGGAATTACTAAACAATTCAGACTTTTATAAAACACTGTTTAAATTAATAGAAAATACTGTACAGAATATTTAGTTTAAGGAATACATTGTAACTATTTTTGTAAGTGTAAATATTTCTGTTTTGATTGATTTGTACTACTTAGATTGTAATTACATTTAAATATAACTTTATTATTATTAGCATTTACACCAAAATTTGAAAATTTAAAAAACTAATGTTATTTTTTGTAATTTTAAGTATTGCAATTCTTGTTCTCCTTTGAAGGACACTTATCTGTTTTAATTTAAAAATATTTTGTAACCCACAATGTATTCGACTGAAGGACTCTGTATCCAGGTCATGAATAAATTAAAAAAAAAATGTTTACCCTATTCCAGTGCAGACTGTGAAAAGGCATTCAGTGAGGTCAATTTAATCAAAACAAAACTTAGAAATAGTTTATCTAATGAAACACTGAAGGGAACATTATTAGCCAAGCAATTAATAAGAAGAAACGGAAATTGCACCAAGTTTAAGCCAACAACAGAAATGTTAAAAAATATGACCTCAGAAAATTTGTATAACTCTAATAAATAGTTTTATTACATAATTTTTCAAATTCTGAACCAATTATTGTCATTTTAAATAAACACTTTGAATTGCTAAGTTGTACGATCTTTTCATTTCAAAATTTCCTTGGAATACGATTTTTTTGTAGTTGACGTACTATCATGCCTTTTTTTCAT